TCAATCTAAATTGCTCTAAAAATGGGAGGTAATGCAATAGTGCACTTTGGTGTGTGGGTCACTTTAAGGAGACTTAGATGCTTCAGGTAAAATGTATGTTACTGCCTTAGCCATCAGCACTAGCATTGTCTGACTTGAAGTGTTAATGTATAAAATTTTGCAATGTAACTAGAAGCCTGAAGAAGCCTTGTCTGCCATCATCGTGACCATTTATTGTTGCTGTTTTTTTCAAAATACAATCCAAATATACAAAGGATAACAATTAACTCCTTTTGGATACAGACTCATACCTGCTGCAAAGCCACTAACATCAACAGCATCACACTGAGGATGAATGCATCATTGCATATTTAAATAGTTACACAACATGTACATTTTAATATCTCTCTCATCACAATGATATCTAAGTAAACAGGATTTCCCTCCCCTTGGGCTTACTCTTTGCCATATATATACACATATAAAGTCTAACTATACAAGACAGATGGGAGAGAGAATGTCACTGAGCTACAGAGAAATTAAGTAGCTTGCCCAAGGTCAAACATGAAATCTATGGCAGATCTGGGAATTAAATCCAGATTTCACCTGTCCTAGTCTGCTGCCTTAACTACCAGATCATTTTTTGCCTCCATTTCTGCTGTTTTGTGTCAAGTGAATGTTTAAACAGCTGAAAAGATTATTTGTCTGAAGAAAAGAGGATCAGAATTCATGTATCCTCTTTGTGTTAATTCAAAGAAATTTAATAAAAAAACCGCTCTATTCCCTTGCACACCAAAAAACTCTTCTTTTGTTGATATGAAACTCACAATTCACCTGCTCTACTTTTCCCATCTTTGAAAAAGCAAATTAATGCATGGGAAAGGTGCCACCCTGAGAGGTATGGAGAAACAAAGCCTCCATCAGGCCATTTCAGTGCTGAAATCAGAACTTTGAGGACACGAAGGATGTAAAATTTAGATCAATCAACTAATTGAATAGTCAATGTAATTTGCATAGACTATTCAATTAGTTGATAAGGAAGCCTCCACCTTCGAAATGTAGCAAAAATGTGCCGTCTCTTTCTACATTTCAAAGGCGGAAGCACCGCAGGAAGCATGGCCAATGGGGGACAAAAAGTTCCCCTGCTAGCCCTGCGCTTTGCTTCTGAAATGTACAAGAGCCTTCCCGGGGCTCTTGTACATTTCAAAAGCAGAGAGTTTGAGTCCCACACTGGCCCTGTGGTCCCAGTGGTGTTTTCGCCTTTGAAATGTACCAAGAACCCTGCTCTTGCTACATTTCAAAGGTGGAAGCACTGCCAGTTCCCCACTGCACCCTGCCCCTTACAGAGATGGTGCTGGGGGGAACTGGCTTTTAAGTAGGCTCCCCTCAGCACCAGATCCTGCTCCCCCACTTGCTGCCTCATTCTGATAGAGGCAAAAAGGGGTGGGGAAGCGACTAGTCAAGTCACTAGTGGACTATCCGATAAGCATTTGCTTATCGGATAGTCAACTAGTTGCTTTCATCCCTAGAGGACTTCTCCTCCTCCCTCCCCTTCCCACCACATCTCTTGCCTCTGAGAACTGGAGAGTACTACACAGCTCAGAAGACAGAACAGGGCTTCCTGAAGCTCAGATGCATTATAGGAATGCAGAAAAAATAAGTAAGGAAGTGTTGCTTACTCCTTCCCATAACACAAGAATTAGGGGTCTCTCAATGAAATTAATAGGCAGCAGGTTTGGAACAAACAAGAGGAAGTATTTCTTCACAAAACACAGTAAACCAGTGGAACTCTTTGCTGGAGGATGTTGGAGGCCAAGACTACAAAAGAGTTTTAAAAAACCCAAAACTTTGGCTAGGTCCATCAAAGTCTATCAGCCAGAATGAGTAGGAATGGTGTCCCTAGCCTCTGTTTGCCAGAGCCTGGGACTGGGCAACAGGGAATGCATCGCCTATTCTGTTCATTCCTTCTGTCGCACCTGGCATAGACCACTATCAGAAGACAGGATACTGGGATGGGTATGGCTGTTCTTGTAGAAAAAAATTGCCTAGTGCTAGAATGTAATTTGAGTCAAAGGTTAAAAAAAAAACAGAGCAGCCTCCCAAAAAAACAACCCCCACAAGGCTTTCTCCCTCTTTTTATTGGGATTTTAACCTATCATTTCCCATCAATATTCAACAATATTCAGTAGACTACAGTATATTGTAAGATTAGTAAGAGTATCTCTACACTTGCACTCTCTTTCGAAAGAGGGATGCAAATGAAGACATTCGAAATTGCAAATGAAGCTGGGATTTAAATATCGTGCACTTCATTTGCATAATCATGGACCGGTGCTATTTCGAAATAGAACTATTTCAAAATAACAAAAGCGGTGTAGATGTGTTATTTCAAGAGAAAACCCTTCTCTCGAAATAACCCTTATTCCTTATAAAATGAGGTTTAACAGTTATTCCTATAGAAGGGTTTTCTCTCGAAATAACGCGTCTCCACAGTGTGTTTTATTTCAAAATAGCGCTATAACGCAATTATGCAAATGAAGCACGGGATATTTAAATCCCGGCTTCATTTGCAATTTCAAATGTCTTCATTTGCATCCCTCTATTGAAAGAGGGTGCAAGTGTAGACATACCCTAAGAGAGGATAGACAGGCAAAAAAAAAAATCAGTTCTGCTGCTGTCTCGTGGAAATGTGAAAGAAGAAAGTGATGGTTTGAAGGGGAAAAAAATAGAGTCACAGAAGTGTAGAACTGGAATAGGCCTTGAGAGTTCATCTACTCCAGCCCCCTGTATTCAAGGCAAAATTATGTGATAAATAGACCATTCCTGAAAAGTGTTTGTCTAATCTGTTCTTTAAAATGAGAGATTCCCCAACCTCCATAGGCGATTTGTTCCAGTGCTTAACGACCCTAACAATTAGAAAGTTTCTCCTAATGTCCAACCTAATCCAACCATGATGCAATTTAAGTCCATTGTTTCTTGTCCTAGCCTCAGTAGTTAATAAGAATATTTTCCCCTCTTCTTTGTAACATGCTTTTATGTACTTGAAAACTGTTACGTCCCTTCCCCCCAGTCTTCTCCAGACTAAACCCCTTTTTTTAACCAATCTTTTCTTGTAAGTTATATTTTCTAGACCTTAAATAATTTTTGTTTCTCTTCTGGACTTTCTCCAATTTTTTTTTAATCTTCCCTGAAATGTGGCCCACCAAAGTGTACACAATACTCCAGTTGAGGCCTAATCAGTAAAGAGTAGACTGGAATAATTATTTGTCAGTGTTTTACAACACTCCAGCTGACACATCACAGAATGTTTGCCTTTTTTGCAACAGTGTTAGCAACGCTGATTCCTATTTAGTTTGTGATCCATTGTGACCCACATTTCCCATTTTGTATGTGGGAAATGCATTCCTCCCTAAGTGGAATACTTTGCATTTGTCCTTATTAAATTTCATTTGATTTACTACTGACCATTTCTCCAGTTCATTTTGAATTTTAATCCTATCCTCCAAAGCGCTTGCAATCTCTCCCAACATGGTATCATCCACAAACTTTATTTCCCTAGTTTGTTTATGAAAAGGTCATGCAAGTCAATATCAAAAGCCTTAGTAAAGTCAAAAT